ACTATTTGTAGCATTAATAGATATTAAGAAATAAATAGGCCAGGTGCGGTGGCTCATGCCTGTAATCCTAGCACTTTGGGAGGCCGAGGCGGACGGATCACCTGAGGACAGGAGTTTGAGACCAGCATGACCAACATGGCGAAACCCTGTCTCTATTAAAAATACAAAACTTAGCCAGGCATGGTGATGTGTGCCAGTAATCCCAACTACTCGGGAGACTGAGACAGAATCGCTTGAACCCAGGAGGCGGAGGTTGCAATGAGCCAAGATTGTGCCATTGCACTCCAGCCTGGGCAACAGAGCAAGACTCTTTCTTAAAAAAAAAAAAAAAAAAAGTAGAAGGAATTAATAAGTTCTATTTTCTGCAGTAGTGATTCTCAAAATTTTGGAACTTAGCACTGCATTATACTTACAAAATTCACTGAAAACTCCAACAGGCTTTTGTTTATATGGGTTATATGTACCGATATTTACCATATTAAATATTAAAACTGAGAATTAAATATTTACTTATTCATTTTAAATAACCATAATAAACTCATGTCACATATGACTACTTTTTAATATATTATTTATTTATTTATTTATTTTTTTGAGACGGAGTTTCGTTCTTGTTACCCAGGCTTGACTGCAATGGCGCGATCTCGGCTCACCGCAACCTCCGCCTCCTGGGTTCAGGCAATTTTCCTGTCTCAGCCTCCTGAGTAGCTGGGATTACAGGCATGTGCCACCATGCCCAGCTAATTTTTTGTATTTTTAGTAGAGACGGGGTTTCACCATGTTGACCGGGATGGTCTCAATCTCTTGACCTCGTGATCCACCCGCCTCGGCCTCCCAAAGTGCTGGTATTACAGGCTTGAGCCACCGCGCCCGGCCCTTATTTTATGAAAAACATATTTACAAAAAAAACTAGTGGAAATGATAGCTTTACATGTTTGCAAGTCACTTTAATGTCTTGCTTAGTAGAAGACAAATGGATTCTCATCTGTATCAGCCTTCAGTCAATTTGCAATACATTGTTTTGGTTGAAACAGATTAAGGAAATCTGACTTCATACAGATATACTTGGAAAAGGAAAAAGCTAGTCTTTTCAGATAAATTGTGGATTTTCTTTTAACAAATGATAGTTTCTTAAAGGTTAGTTGCAATGTGGATGTGAAGTCATTTCAATAAACTTTTTATTCTCTGTCACATTAAAATCCATTGATCTATCTTGCACTTTGTATGGATTCTTAACCCATATTATGTGATATTGTAATATAAGGCATTGGTTATTGGAAAATATTTGTTTCTTGAGCATTACAGATCTTCCAAATGTTGAAACATTTCCTTTTATAATATCACATTTGTTAATATCACCACTGACATCATCTAAAAAGTTTTTAAGTATTCAAGTAGTATCTACTACCACGAGGGAGTAGATACAAGTTCTCCCTAATCCCAATTTTTATTTGAAAGTTTGAGTTTTATCCTTGGCCACAAATACTACCGCTTGTTTTCCTTGAAGTGATAGGCTCACTCCATTCATTTTCAAGAGAATGTCTGCCAGGTGTCCAGGTCTGAATAACCATCATTTGTCTATCAGTCCTTTTATCAAGTAAAAATGGGATTTCATGAACAAGAAGGCCAATTCAGCTTACATGCAACTCTAATAATGGCCCAGAGGCTTTAAATCCAGTTATCTATTGTGAATGATGCTTTATGGAGATTGCCCATTTCATAACACAGGATATTAAAATAATGCATACTGAGGGTTGGGGTTTAATGAAATTAATGTTTACTGCTTTATCAAGGACAGTCTTAAGTGAAACTGGCTTTTTTCATTTTCCTGCTAATGCATGAAGGTGAAAGATGTAATGACCACTAGCACCATTTGGAGCTGCTGCCTTGTTTCCTGCTAAGGAAGCAGCAGTGTTACCCACCACTGCTTTTGTAACATCAGTGCAAATGTTAACACAGTAATTACAGCATAACCCTGAGACTCAAAAAAGTATTTAGTACTTTGAATATTTCAGCACCTCTTGTATATTGTTGCCAAAAATTCACAGAAAAGAAGATTTTTGATGATTTATTGTGCTGTTAACAGACAAATACAAGCAAACTGGCAAATCCATCAATATCTGGAGGTTCACTCATTTGTAAAGCAAAAATATGATTGTTTCACGGAGATATCAAGCCAGTCTTCAAATCCCAAAAAGAGATTTGCAGTCAAATCTCTTAATTGGATGAGTTACTCTGTCATTGCAAAGTGGCAGTACTGTGATTTCCTTTACTGACTTTTCATCCAATAAGCATTCTGCAATGTCAACAGTACAACTGTCTCTCAGCTACTCTGTGTACTTCTCTAGCCAGGGCTGCGTAACTAACCCTGTAAGATGCTTCAGTGGATTATGGCCGGGCGCGGTGGCTCAAGCCTGTAATACCAGCACTTTGGGAGGCCGAGGCGGGTGGATCACGAGGTCAAGAGATCGAGACCATCCCGGTCAACATGGTGAAACCCCGGCTCTACTAAAAATACATAAAATTAGCTGGGCATGGTGGCACGTGCCTGTAATCCCAGCTACTCAGGAGGCTGAGGCAGGAGAATTGCCTGAACCCAGGAGGCGGAGGTTGCAGTGAGCCGAGATTGCGCCATTGCAGTCCAGCCTGGGTAACGAGCGAAACTCCTCCTCCTCCTCAAAAAAAAAAAAAAAAAAAAAAAAAAGATGCTTCAGTGGGTTTTTCACTCTTTATCTTTTGACGAGCTTATCATGCCTAAGTTTAAATATTCAATTCTCTTCTTTATACTGTGAATGATTTGTCTCAATGAGACATTACAACTTAACCGGCACCATAAATATTATTTTAAAATATTCCATTGCATAACACACACAAAGTTAAGTTATTAACATCCATAAAGTTGAGAGAAAGATGGCTTTCATCATAATTTCATTTCTTCTTCATAATTTTACTCAGTTTCTTTAAAATAGATTTTTCCCTTCCTTGAGTCAAAAGACTGACATGTCAGTTTCACTTTTTTTTTTTTTAGCATCTTTAGATATAGACAGATAGTGCAGTGCAGTTATGGGTTAAGAAGATAAGCTTTCTTCTTCTTTTTCTTCTTCTTTTTTTTTTTTGAGACAGAGTCTTGCTCTATAATCCAGGCTGGAGTGCGATGGCATGATCTCAGCTCACTGCAACCTCTGCCTCCTGGGTTTAACTGATTCTTCTGCCTTTGCCTCTCAAGTAGCTGGGATTATAGGCATGCATCATCACGCGCAACTAATTTTTATATTTTTAGTAGAGACAGGATTTCACCATGTTGGCCAGGCTAGTAAGAAGCAAGCCTTCTAATCCACTTTGAAAATTCATCCCTGAATTAGAAAAAAAGTATTAAAAATAAATTTTCTTTTAGAACAAGATAAAATATTAAGTGCAAAGTAAGTTTCAGTTAAAATTAAAATTTTTTTTATTTGAAAACTTAAAAATACTGCTGTGAAATAAAAGAACAAGTAGTACCCACCCCTTTTATGCTTCTGCATAGGTGGCAAGGGAAACTTTGGGGTTCAAAATAAGAATTTATTGAACAACAATGAGGGTATAGAGATTACAGCAGGAATAATAAAAGACAGCTATTACTAGTAAGAACACAGTAAAAGTACAGAGAACAAACTGAGTTAATCTCTGAAAGTGCACTGCTTCATACCATAAACCTCTGCCTCAGCTCAGTGCTACATCACAACAGAATACACAGCACACATTCCGTTAGCTGTCAGAGTAATGAAGTAGGCACATATCTGGAAAATGCCACTGACACTCAGAGACTGAGAGAAATAAAGGCAAATAACGTTTTAGTTTTACTGTAAGTAAAGTCAAGGGCCCACTGAAAGGCTCAGAGGGACCTCCTGGAGTCCCCAGGCCACATTTAAAGAACCACTCACTGTTCTAGATGTTGGAACCCATCATCACGGTATTTTAAAAGTCACCTTTGAAGATCACTGTGCATTCTTGACATTTTTAACCCTGAAGTGGGAGTGGTCATCCCATGTCAAGATCCTCCAGGACATATTGTGTATCTTGTAAAGTTAATTCTGATCTTTTGTCATTTCATATAAATGAGGGCAAGAGTCAGGAAGCAGAAGAATGGCGAATGGTTTTATTACATGAAATAATTTGACTAATTCATTCACTGATTTTTTTAAATTAGAGAAATGTGTGTTTTTGGGGTAAGGCTAGGCTTTATTGGTGTAAAATCTTATCATAGAAACCTGATCCAGTTTATGGTTGCCAAGAATTAAGACTTGATAAAAACATCAAAGCTTCTTTATTTGGGGTCTTGCTGCCCATGCTTAACTGGGGGAAAACCTGGCTACGCTGTCACCAGGATGGAGTCTCTTCCTTCCTCTCCAGAGCACCAATAACATGGAGTGTGTGCTCCTGCCCCATCTACTTCCGTTAGTGCACCATGTACATCTCCAGTCAAGAAACCAGAGTATGCTCGAACATTGAGTTTAATGTGTAATTAGGATTAAATTACCATTAAACAAAGTGATTTTATGGTAATGTGTTATTAAGATTGGAAAGCTGTTAAATTATAACATTTGAATCTAGGATGCATGTTTGGCTACATTTTAACAACACTGAAATGAGAATGTGTTTTCGAAGACAGCATTTTTTTCTATTTTTGTGAAATAGCGTGTTTTTAATTTAATTTAGAAATGTTATCTTCAAGTTGTCTTTCTCGACGTAATTACAAATGCCTGTTTCATGTGGAAGACTACAGTAGCTCTTTAGTGGTTTCTACATTTCTCTTTTAAAAGAGAAATAACAGATGCTAGCAGTAATTTATGAGTGTATATTCCTGAAATGTGCATTTCCACATTATGTGTGTCATAGTAAATAGGAAAATTAACATTAAACTATTGAATATATATATTTTTTAAAAGCTGTGCTTCTTTCTTAAAAAACCATTTTGCTTATGTTTAAATTTGATATTTGTCATTTAATTCTGTTTATTGCAGGTTTACTTTAGGACAGTGGAACTTATAGAAGAGCCCATAAAAGGGTCTCCTGGTTTGAGTTTCTATTTCAAAATTAATGGATTTCCCATATTTCTAAAAGGTTCAAACTGGATCCCAGCAGATTCATTCCAGGACCGAGTAACCTCTGAGTTGTAAGTTATTGTCTTTCTTTTCTTGTTTCTCTTTTAATTGACAGTCCTGCAAAGCTTAAAGTTTACTCATTTTTACCTTCTTTAGTCCCTAGGCAAGGAACTAAGAGATAGTGTAGAATTCTAGATGATGGAAACTTTAGAATGGACAGGATTTAAAAAATCATACATTCCACTCTCCTAGGCTACAGGTGGCCTTACAGCTAAATGATTTGAGACTGTCGAAGCCATTTGATTTTTAGAAAACTATTATATGTTTACTCTGGAGAAATAGGAAAATGACTAATTCATATATTAAATAGTTAGTCCCTGAAAAAAAATTAAATTCTACTTTTTTCAGCTTTTCAAAGGAAACCTTAAATGTTTTTGAGTGTGGGTTTGAAAGATAAGAACACATATTTACCTTGCTTTTTTTGTTTTTGAGAAAGAGTCTCACTCGGTTGCCCAGACTGGAGTGCAGTGGTGCTATCTCAGCTCACTGCAACCTCTACCTCCCAGGCCCAAATGATTATCCTGTCTCAGCCTCCCGAGTAGCTGGGATTACAAGCATGGGCTACTACCACCTGGGTAATTTTTGTATTTTTAGTAGAGATGGGGTTTCACCATGTTGGCTTGGCTGGTCTTGAAATCCTGACCCCAAATGATCCACGTACCTTGGCCTCCCAAAGTGTTGGGATTACAGGTGTGAGCCACTGGGCCTGGCCCCATGTTTACCTTCCTATGCTAAGATATTTGTATATTCTTTTTAAAAAAATATACTGTAAGTTCTGGGGTACATGTGCAGAACGTGCATGTTTGTTATATAGGTATACATGTACAATGGTGGTTTGCTGCATCTATTACCCTGTCATCTACATTAGGCATTTCTCCTAATGCTATCCCTCCCCTGGCCCTCCACCCCTCTGCTATCCCTCCCTTAGCCCCCCAACTCCCAAAAGGCCCTGCTATATGATGTTCCCCTCCCTGTGTCCATGTGTTTTCATTGCTCAGCACTCACTTATATGTGAGAACATGCAGTGTTTGGTTTTCTGTTCTTGTGTCAGTTTGCTGAAAATGATAGTTTCCAGCTTAATCCATGCCCCTGCAAAGGACGTAAGATCATTCTTTTTTATGGCTGCATAGTATTCCATGGTGTATATGTGCCACATTTTCTTTATCTAGTCTATCATTGATGAGCATTTGGGTTGGTTTCAGGTCTTTGCTGTTTTGAAAAGTGCAACAATAAAAATACATGTGCATATGTCTTTATAACAGAATGATTTATAATCCTTTGGGTATATGACCAGTAATGGGATTGCTGGGTCAAATGATATTTCTAGTTCTAGATCCTGAGGAATTGCCACACTGTCTTCCACATGGCTGAAGTAATTTACACTCCCACTAACAGTGTAAAAGCATTCCTATTTCTCCACATCCTCTCTAGCATCTGTTGTCTCCTGATTTTTTAATGATTGCCATTCTAACTGTCATGAGATGATATTTCATTGTGGTTTTGATTTTCATTTCGCTAATGACTAGTGATGATGAGCTTTTTTTCATGTTTGCTGGCTGCATAAATGTCTTCTTTTGGGAAATGTCTATTCATACCCTTTGCCCACTTTTTGATGGATTGTTTTTTCTTCTAAATTTGTTTAAGTTCTTTTCAGATTCTGGATATTAGCCCTTTGTCAGATGAGTAGATTGCAAACATTTTTTTCCCATTTTGTTGGTTGCTGGTTCATTCTAATGATGGTTTCTTTTTGCTGTGCAGAAGCTCTTAAGTTTAGTTAGATCCCATTTGTCTATTTTGGCTTTTGTTGCCATTGCTTTTGGTGTTTTGGTCATGAAGTCCTTGTCCATGCCTATGTCTTTAATGGTGTTGCCTAGGCTTTCTTCTAGAGTTTTTATGGTTTTGGATCTTATATTTAAGTCTTTAATCCATCTTGAGTTAATTTTTGTACAAGGTGTAAGGAAGGAATCCAGTTTCAGCTTTCTGCATATTAGCTAGATAGTTTCCCCAACACCATTTATTAAATAGAGAATCCTACCCCATTGCTTGGTTTTGTCCGGTTTGTCAAAGATTAGATGGTTGTGGATGTATGGCATTATTTCTGAGGCCTCTTTTCTGTTCTATTTGTCTATATCTCTGTTTCGATACCAGTACCATGCTGTTTTGATTACTGTAGACTTGGAATATAATTTGAAGTCAGGTAGCATGGTGCCTCAAGCTTTGGTTTTGTTTTGCTTGGGATTGCCTTGATTATGTTGGCTCTTTTTTGGTTCCATATGAAATTTAAGGTGTTTTTTTCCAACTCTGTGAAGAAAGTCAATGGTAGCTTGATGGGGATAACATTGAATCTATAAGTTATCTTGGGCAGTACAGCCATTTTCATGATACTGATTCTTCCTGATCATGAGCATGGAATGCTTTTCCATGTGTTTGTGTCCTCTCTTATTTTCTTGAGCAGTGGTTTGTAGTTCTCCTTGAAGAGGTCCTTCACAACCCTTGATAGTTGTATTCCTAGGTATTTTATTCTCTTTGTAGCAATTGAGAATGGGAGTTCACTCATGATTTGGCTTTCTGTTTGTCTGTTGTTGGTGTATAGGAATGGTTGTGATTTTTGCAAATTGGTTTTGTATCCTGAGATTTTGCTAAAGTTGCTTATCACCTTAAGGAGATTTTGGGCTGAGATGGTGGGGTCTTCTAAATATACAATCATGTTGTCTGCAAATAGACAATTTGACTTCATATTTTTCTAATTGAATACCCTTTATTTCTTTTTCTTGCCTCACTGCCCTGGCCAGAATTTCCAGTTCTATGCTGAATAGGAGTGGTGAGAGAGGGCATCCTTGTCTTGTGCCAGTTTTCAAAGGGAATGCTTCCAGTTTTTGCCGATTCAGTATGATATTGGCTGTGGGTTTGTCATAAACAGCTGTTATTATTTTGAGATATGTTCAATCAATACCTAGTTTATTGAAAGTTTTTAGCATAAAGGGCTGTTGAATTTTGTCAAAGGTCTTTTCTGCATCTATTGAGATAATCATATGATTTTTGTCTTTGGTTCTGTTTATGTAATGGGTTGCATTTATAGATTTGTGTATGTTGAACCAGCCTTGCATCCCATGGTTGAAGCCAACTTGATCATGATGGATGAGTTTTTGATGTGCTGTTGGATTCCGTTTTCCAGTATTTTCTTGAGGATTTTCACACTGATGTTCATCATGGATATTGGCCTGAAATTTTCTTTTTTAGTTGTGTCTCTGTCAGGTTTTGGTATCAGGATGATGTTGGTCTCATAAAATGTGTTAGAAAGGAGTCCTTCTTTTTGTATTGTTTGGAACAGTTTCAGAAGGAGTGGTACCAGCTTCTCTTTATACCTCTGGTAGAATTCGGCTGTGGACCCATCTGGTCCTGAACTTTTTTTTGGTTGGTAGGCTATTAATTGTTGCCTCAATTTCAGGCCTTTTTGTTGGTCTGTCAGGGATTTGAGTTCTTTTTGGTTTAGTCTTGGGAAGGTGTAAGTGTCCAGGAATTTATCCAGTTCTTCTAGATTGTCTGGTTTATTTTCATAGAGATGTTTGTAGTAATCTCTGATGGTAGTTTGCATTTCTGTGGGACCAGTGGTGATACCCCCTTTATTATTTTTATTGCATCTATTTGATTCTTCTCTCTTTTCTTTTTTATTAGTCTGGCTAGCTGTCTATCTAATTTGTTGATCATTTCAAAAAACCAGCTTCTGGATTCACTGATTTTTTTGAAGGGTTTTTCATGTCTCTATCTCCTTCAGTTATGTTCTGATCTTAGTTATTTCTTGTCTTCTGCTAGCTTTTGAATTTGTTCTTGCTTCTCTAGTTCTTTTAATCCCGATGTTACAGTGTCAGTTTTAGAGATCTTTCCTGCTTTCTCTTGTGGGGATTTAATGCTATAAATTTCCCTCTACACACTGCTTTAAATGTATCCCAGAGATTCTGGTATGTTGTGTCTTCATTCTCATTGGTTTCAAAGAACATCTTTATTTCAGCCTTCATTTCATTAAGTATCCCATAGTCATTCAGGAGCAGGTTGTTCAGTTTCCATGTAATTGTGCGGTTTTGAGTGAGTTTCTTAATCCCAAGTTCTCATTTGATTGCACTGTGGTCTGAGACACTGTTTGTTAGGATTTATGTTCTTTTACATTTGCTGAGGAGTGTTGTACTTCCAATTATGTGATCAATATTAGAGTAAGTGTGATGTGGTGCTGAGAAGAATGTATACTCTGTGGATTTGGGGTGGAGAGTTCTGTAGATGTCTATTAGGTTTGCTTGTTCCAGAGCTGAGTTCAAGGCTTGGATATTCTTGTTAATTTTCTGTCTCGTTGATCTGTCTAATATTGACAGTGGGGTGCTAAAGTCTCCCACTATTATTGTTTGGGAGTCTAAGTCTTTTTTAGGTCTCTAAGAAATTATTTTATATATCTGGGTGCTCCTGTATTGGGTGCCTATATATTTAGGATAGATAGCTCTTCTTGTTACATTGATCTCTTCACCATTATATAATGCCCTTCTTTGTCTCTTTTGATCTTTGTTGGTTTAAAGTCTGTTTAATCAGAGACTAGGATTGCAATTCCTGCTTTTTTTTTTTTTTCTTTCCATTGACTTAGCAAATTTTCCTCTATCCCTTTATTTTGAGCCTATGCACGTCTTTGAATGTGAGATGGGTCTCTTGAATACAACACACTGATGGGTCTTGACTCTTTATACAATTTGCCAATCTATGTCTTTTAATTGGGGCATTTAGGCCATTTACATTTAAGATTAATATTGTTAGGTGTGAATTTGATCCTGCCCTTAAATGATGCTAGCTGGTTGTTTTGCCCATTAGTTGATACAGTTTCTTCATTGTGTTGATGGACTTTACATTTAGTACGTTTTTGCAGTGGCTGGTACTGGTTGTTCCTTTCCATGTTTAGTGCTTCCTACAGGAGCTCTTGTAAGGCAGGTCAGGTGGTGATAAAATCTCTCAGTTGTTGTTTGTCTGTAATGGATTTTATTTCTCCTCTGCTTATGAAGCTTAGGTTGGCTGAATATGAAATTCTGGGTTGAAAATTATTTTCTTTAAGAATGTCAAATATTGGCCCCTAATCTCTTCTAGCTTTTAGGGTTTCTCCCGAGAGATCTGCTGTGAGTCTGATGGGCTTCCCTTTGTGAGTAACTCGACCTTTCTCTCTGGCTGCCCTTAGCATTTTTTTCTTCATTTCAACCTTGGTGAATCTGCCGATTACATGTCTTGGGGTTGCTCTTCTTGAGGAGTATCTTTGTGGTGGTCTCTGTATTTCCTGAATTTGGATATTAGCCTGTCTTGCTAGGTTGGGGATGTTCTCTTGGATAACATCCTGAAGAGTGTTTTCCAACTTGGTTTCATTTTCCCCATCACTTTCAGATACATCAATCAAACGTAGATTTGGTCTTTTCACATAATTCCATGTTTCTTGGAGGCTTTGTTCATTTCTTTTCACTCTTTTTTCTCTAATCTTGCCTTCTTGTTTTATTCCATTGAGTTTATCTTCAATCTCTGATATCCTTTCTTCCACTTGATTGATTTGGCTATTGCAACTTGTGTATGCTTCACGAAGATCTTGTGCTGTATTTTTCAGCCCCATCAGGTCATTTATGTTCTTCTCTAAAGTAGTTATTCTAGTTAGCATTTCATTTAACCTTTTCCCAAAGTTCTTAGCTTTCTTGCCTTGGGTTAGAACATACTCTGTTAGCTCAGAGAAGTTTATTACCTACCTCCTGGAGCCTGCTTCTGTCAATTTGTCAAACTCATTCTCCATCAGTTTTGTTCTTTTGCTGGTGAGGAGTTGTGATCTCTTGGAGGAGAAGAGGTGTTCTGGTTTTTGGAATTTTTAGCCTTTTTTTGTGCTGGTTTCTTCCCACCTTTGTGGATTTATCTACGTTTGGTCTTTGAAGTTGGTGATTTTGGATGGGGTCTCTGAGTGGACATCCTTTTTGTTGATGCTGAAACTATTTCTTTCTGTTTGTTAGTTTTCCTGCTGGAAAAACATCAGTCCCTCTGCTGCAGGTCTGCTGGAGTTTTCTGGAGGTCCACTCCAGACCCTGCTTACCTGGGAATCACTAGCAGGGGCTGCAGAACAGCAAAGATTGCTGCCTGTTCCTTCCTCTGGTAGCTTCGTCCCAGAAGCGTACCTGCCAGATACCTACCAGAGCTTTCCTATTTGAGGTGTCTGTTGGCCCCTGCTGGAAGGTATCTGCTAGTCAGGATACACAGGGGTCAGGGAGCCACTTGAGGAGGCAGTCTGTTCCTTATCAGAGCTAGAATGCTGTGCTGGGAGACCCGCTGCACTCTTATAGCTGCCAGGTAGGGATGTTTAAGTCTTCTGAAGCTGTACTCACAATTGTCCCTTTCCCCAGGTGCTCTGTCCCAGGAAGGTTGGGGTTTATTTATAAGTCCCTGAAAGGGTGCTGCCTTTTTTCAGCAATGCTCTGCCTAGTGAGGAGGGAGTCTAGTGACACAGTCTGCCTGCAGAGGCCTTGCTGAGCTTCTGTAGTCTCCACTCAGTTCCTTCCCTGCAACTTTGTTTACACAGGTGAGGTTAAAACCTCCTACTTGAGCCTTAGCAATGGCAGATGCCCCTCCCCCCATGGAGGAGCTAAACTTCCCAGGTCGAGCTCAGACTACTGTGCTGGCTGCGAGAATTTCAAGCCAGTGAAACTTAGCTTGCTGGTCTTTGTGGGGGTGGGACCTGGCCGAGCCAGATCACTTGACTCCCTGACTTCAGCCCCCTTTTTCAGGGGAGTGAACAGTTTTGTCTCACTGGTGTTCCAGGTGCTCCTGGGGTATGAAAAAAAGAAAACTGCTATGGCTAGCTTGGTGTCTTTCCAAATAGATGTTCAGTTTTGTGGTGGAAACTCAGGGCCTTGGTGTTGTGGCACCAGACGGAATCTCCTGCTCTGCAGGTTGTAAAGACCATGGGAAAAGCACAGTATCTGGGATGGAGTGCCAGGAATACTCCTTAGTGGCTTCCCTTGGTAGGAGAGGGAGTTCTCTAACCCTTTGCACTTCCCGGGTGAGGTGATGTCCTATCCTGCTTTGACTTACCCTCCTTCAGCTGCACCCACTGTCTAAGCAGTTCCAATGAGATGAACCAGGTACCTCAGTGGGAAATGCAGAGATTACCTGCCTTCTGCTTTGCTCTTGCTGGGAACTGCACAGCAGAGCTGTTCCTATTTGGCCATCTTGCCAGCAGTTCCGATACTTGCATATTCTTCTGCTTTTATCTTAACAAAAGAACTAGAAGAAATCTTGTGTGTCGTGGGGGTGTGGTTGTGGGAGGGTGGAAAGGGAACTGGGAGCTGTTGGTCAGAGTATAGAATGCAGCAGATATGAAGGAGAACAAGTCTCGAGATCTGATGTGCCCTAGGACTGTGGAGAAAAAAAAATTGTGCTATTTATGGAATTCAGGCTAAATGAGTAGATTTTGGCTACTCTGGCCACAAACACAGCAAGAGTGGGTAACTATGTAGGACAGCAGTCCTCAGCCTTTTTAGCACCAAGGACCAGTTTCATGGAAGACAGTTTTTCCACAGATTGGGGGCAGTGGGTGGGGGGATAGTTTTGGGATGAAACTGTTCCACCTCAGATCATCAGCAATTAGATTCTCATAAGGAGCATGCAACCTGGATCCCTCGCATGCACAGTTCACAATGGGGTTCCTGCTCCTTTAAGAATCTAATGTGCCACTGATCTGACAGGTCAGATAGTAATGCTTGCTCACCTGCTGCTCACCTTGTGCTGGTCCATGGCCGCCTGGTCCTTGGTCCAGTCCATGACCTGGGGTTGGGACTCCTAATGTAGGACGGTGAGTGTGTTAGTTTGTTTCACTATAGTTATTTTTAACTATCTATATGTAACCCATAGCATCATGTCATATACCTTAAATATACATAATGCAATTTATTTTAAAACAATATATAGTCTTAACAGTTCTAGATCTAGGGAAAAAAATAAAAATGTTTTTCTGAGACTGCAAGAATAGAACTTTGGAAGAAAGTAATATTTTCTAATTGGATCTGTAAACTTACATCTTTTTGATGCTGAAAATAAACTTTATGAAATGAAAATAAACACATTTAAACTTATTTATTATCTAAGTTAAATAACATTTTAGCATATTTACAAATGTGTAAGTGTGCATTGTAGTTTATTATTTAATGTTTAGAATGTAAATATCAGTAACTAACCCAGATTTTTTTCTAAAAGTTGTGGTAATTTCCTTTTACTTTAAAACGTGCCTATTTAGATTTCATAAGAAAATGAAATTGTTCTTCAGACATAGACACAAGATAATTGGCTCTATTGTCTCCTTTTCAAATGCTCCTCTCTCTTCCTGGCTGGGGCTGGGTTGGCTGTGGTGGTTCAGCCTGGCGGGGCCAATTGTCAAGCCTGCCTGTCGTGCCTGTGCTGAGCCCACAGTGCCCTGGGTCTGCCCAGCCTGTCATTTGGATTGAGCTGTGTTCTGGGGATGGAGGGAGGGTACATGCTCTCAAGCTGCCTGTAAGTTTCTAGATTTTCCAGAGGGTCATATGAATAAGAATTAGGAAAGGTAGAAAGGAAATTTACTAGAGAAAGAAATATTGGGCTGGAGGAATTCTATACAAGGAGAGGGGTAACAGGCACTAATACTCAAGTCTTGATTTTGTTTTATAGTTTGGAGGAGTTATATAGAATTAGCAGATACTTTCTAAGGCTTACAACTGTATTTTTATAGGAATAAATATAAAACAAAAATTAATTTTAAAAATAGTATAATAATGTTACTGAAAATTTAATAGGTAAAGATATCACCCATCCTTTTTCTGTTTATGTGTTTACAGTTAATGTGTACATAATTTTATCTTCCTTTAATTTGCATTATAACCAAACCATCATGATTTTAGAGTATGTTTTTCTAAACATACTCTGCCACAATCTGTTTTTTTTTTTTTTTCCAAATTAGGATTTGTTTATAAAATGTCTTCTACAGGTTACAGCTTCTTTTGCAGTCTGTTGTGGATGCTAACATGAATACTCTTCGGGTTTGGGGAGGAGGAATTTATGAGCAGGATGAATTCTATGAACTCTGTGATGAACTAGGAATAATGGTGAGAAGTCAATAGCATTTTATATATTGATAAGTTACTGTATCCTCAGTTTGACTGCCAATGTGCTGAATGATGCAATTGCCCTTTCCTTCCTGTCTCAGAGCTGGGAATGATATTCCATTTTGGGCTATAGTAATAAATGGCATCTTATAAACCCAGAGCCATAGGTGATAGCAACTACCATAATTCTTTATTATTAAATGATAGATGTCCTATAATTTATTTATATTCCAGTGTGTGTATATATATATATATTAAATTTAAATTATTTTAAATTTAATATATATATATTTAAATTATTTTAAAATAATTTCCTTTGTGATATTAGGTATGCATGTAAAAGAAAATAGAATATTTAAAACACTTAAAGGAGATCTGACAAAACCTAAAGAGAAGAAAATATGAAATTAAGTAAAGAAAAGGTGTGTTTGATATTGTTTTTCTAAATTTTTTCTGATTTTTAATTTTTAATTTTTCTTTTCTTGAGACGGAGTCTCACTCTGTCCCAGGCTGGAATGCAGTGTTGTGACCTCAGCTCACTGCACCCTCCCTCACCCCAGGTTCAAGCGATTCTCCTGCCCCAGTGTCCAGAGCAGCTGGGATTATAGGCATGTACTAAATTTTGTGTTTTTAGTAAATTAGCATGCAGCTAATTTTTGTATTTTTAATAGAGCTGGAGTTTCACCGTGTTGGCCAGGCTGGCCTCGAAATCCTGGCCTCAGGTGATCCACCTGCCTTGGCCTCCCAAAGTGCTGAGATTACAGATGTGAGCTACTGTGGCTGGCCCTAATATTGTTATTAGGTACTTCTAACATGTTTTGCAATTTTGAGGATAAAACAAAGAAAATATATGCTGTTAATTTTATTATTATTGATCTAAAATATAAAGAGTGTCACAGGAGACTAGAAATTATATTAATGATAATGCTGATGGTTATTGTAATGATGACAATATTCTATAATATTTACTGAGTGTCAGGCATTGTTCTAAGTGCACTATATATTTTATATTATCTTCATGCCCATTCAGTGAGGTAGTTACTATTCTCTATCCCTATTTACAGATAAGGAAACTGACACGTGGAGAGGTTAAATATTTTACCTAAACGCTAACAGCCCGTTTATGGTGGAATCAAGATTCTGACTCAGACAAGCTATGTTCTTTTTTTCTTTTTTCTTTTTTTTTTTTTTTCCTTCCTTTTTTTGAGATGAACTCTTACTCTCTTGCCTGGGCTGGAATGCAGTGGTGTGATTTTGGCTCACTTCAGCCTCCGCTTCCCAGGTTCAAGCAATTCTCCTGCCTCAGCCTCCCAAGTAGTTAGGATTACAGGTGTGTGCCACCATGCCTGACTAATTTTTGTATTTTTAGTACAGACAGAGTTTCACCATGTTGGCCAGGCTGGTCTCGAACTGCTGACCTCAGGTGATCCACCCTCCTTGGCCTCCCAAAGTGCTGGGATTATAGACATGAGCCACAGCACCCAGTTGGGGCTATGTTCTTAACCATTGCATCACACAGCCTCCTTAGACAGGAACCTACAAGGTTTCATTACTAAATTGTGCACGTAGTAATCCTTTTGTCTATGAAAAGTTAACTCTTTATAAACGAAGTATGATTCTTAACAGTCATTGAGTCTTAATCAAAGGTATTCTTAATACCTTTGTTATTAAGGTGCATTTCTTAATACCAAATGCCTGGTGAAAATAGGAATGAATTAGGAGTGAGGAGGGGCTGGAGGGAAGCCTCATTTTGTGTCCCCTCCACACGTTTTTTCCTTTTTCAGATTCTTCCATCTTCCCTTTCTTTTATACCTGCCTAGGATTTTCTCTTCTCGGGTTTCTGTACACTTTTGTGCAGCTCTGGGAAATCCTAATGTCTGTGATATGTTTCCTGGTTGCCTGTATGCATAATAGTCCCCCAGTGATCACACTCATTGGGCCAACTTGATTTTACATTTGTGTGAAAGATAATGCCTAGAGATCAGAATAAAGACTTTCTTCTGTGTAATAAAACTTATGGAAGTGTTACATTACCTTTTATTTGATTTGCTAGGTGTGGCAGGATTTTATGTTTGCCTGTGCCCTTTATCCAACCGATCAAGGCTTCCTGGATTCAGTGAGAGCAGAAGTTTCTTACCAGGTATGTTATTTCCCTTCCAAGAAGAAAGAAAACACATCATATGTTTTAGTTTTGCCTTTCTAAAAAATCTTGCCTCATTTTTGGTGTTTGTTATCTACTAAATCCCATGAAAAATTACACAGTCAGGTAATTGACAACCTAGGTGATTCTACCCAGTACCATGGCTTTACCATCATCTATTGGCTGATGACTCCCAGATTTATCTCCAGGTCTGATTTCTTTGCTGAATTCCTCTTTTTTACATCCAACTGCCTACCTGGTGCCTCTGCTTAGAGGTTTAATAAGCATCTGAAATGTAATATGTACAAACTGAAAATGTACATCTGAAATGTAATATGTACATTACAAAATGTAATGTGTATTGCCTCCCCCAACCTTGCTTCTTCTGCAGTTTTCACCTCAGCAAACAGCAATGCCACTGTTTGAATTGCTCAGGAGAAAATTTTAAATTGATAATTGATTCCTTGATTTATTTTGCATTCCACATATTGACATTTATATTTATATTCACAAATATATAAATGCAAGGAAGTGATTATATACTTCTTCTGTCCACTGAAAAGACCTAGAAATAATGCCCTACATTGTAGTATTGAGTATTCTTATATTGAAATGATCTTTCCTGTTAATAGAAAAGCTTCTTAGAGAAATGGCTGACTCTAGGTCTGACACAGGAAATATACTAGATGATCCTGGACTATCTTCTTTTTACAAATGGCAATGGTTTCATATAATATTATCAACTGATAATTTTAGCTACAGATCTGAGGTTTATCAGCTGTGTGCTCAATATACTTATTTCTGCAGCAAGGTCTGTTTAGGAGATGATCATGCTTTGAAACACAGATTGCATTACATTTCCTCTCCCCTAAATGTTAAGTGCGTGGCATGGGTTTCCATGTAGAACCAGAGTGGGATGCTTGACAATACAAGAAAATTTGGAATCATGATGTACTCCCAAAATACAGCTTTGGAACCAACTTGTGAATGTATCTTATGTGAGTAAAATACTATTGAAACATTGGACTGATTCATTACCATCCATTAGAAATCATCACTGTACCAGGAGATTACTCCTACTTTGTAAAGAATTTGCAAGACTGTGCAGACATAATGAGTTTTGGTAGTGTTCTGCAACATGTTAAAGAAGGAAAAAAATTCATATTCTTGGTAACCTCAGCTAAAGGTACAATATGGATCATTATTGACTCTGATTTCAACTTCTCATTTCCAACTGTCTGCCAGATTTTTTGCAATGTTGATGTACAAAGAACAAATATTTTGATATTTCTTCCTGAATGGTGAACCTGCCACCTTAGGGAGGTCACTTTACTTCTTGAGCCTCAATTTCTGTATCTATAACTCTGATGTGATGTCATTCCTCATGAAACTGTTTCAAAGATTAAATAGGATAATATATGGAAGGCATGCAGTATAAAAGAAATAACAAATAATCCCAGCTGTCCCACTACCACCACTAACTCAGCATGTCTTCATTTTTCTTTTTTGCAGGAAATATGAAAGTCATTGATACTTTCTTTTTTCTCACCTCCCACATCCAACTGGTTTTAAAGTTGAGACAATTTTTTGATGCCAGTGTTACTTGTATTTGTATTTACTTTCTCACCCCTGTACCTACTACTCTAACTCAAATCCTATTTTTCTGGCTCCTCAATCATTGCATTTGTTTTCTGGTTGGGCTCCCTAGTATTGGTCTCTTTCAATATGTACATACTCAACAGAGCTGCCAAAGTCATCTTCCACTGACACATTTTAAGTCATACTATATTCCTGCTCAGAACCCTGATCCTGGAATATCTCAACATACAGATAGCAAGAAAGCTATCAAAGTTACATCAAAAGGATTTTGAGAGATTCTGAGCAGCCAAAAAGGGGACAATTTAAGATTCAGTAAGGATAAGGGTGTCAATGAAGTGAATCCATCAAGTGTGTTGAAATCTAGAGTTCATAATATAGTGCCTGCAGATGTATATTTTGTGAAAAACCATACAGAAATGCAAGGAAGCGATTTCTATAACACTCAAGACAGTGGTTACTTTTGGAAGGAGGAAGGGGCCGTGATTAGGAAGAGGCATGTGGAGGGCTTCCTGTGTGGCTGCCCTGGGTGGTGGCTACAAGGATGATTGCCTTATAATAATTCACCACATGATAATGTGTTTTCTGTAACTGTGTTTCATTTTAAAATAAAAGGTTTAAAAAGTACAATTGAATCCTTCCCTTGCCAGCAGCTCCCCTGAGGTAGCTCCTTGCCCTCTGGGTAAGTGTAAGATCCTCTTGTGCGGGACCCCGTCCTGCTGGTGTCCACACTTGTTCGGGCACCATCTCCCTCTTGCTGTCTGTGTCCTGGACCATCTTCTCCATCCCCTGCCCTTGTGGGCCACCTCCTTTGTTCTCCTTTGGCCTCTCTTACCTTGAGCATGGGAAAAACCTTCTTCTATCTGCAAGTGTAGATTAAGTCACTCTTCTTTTGCCTTTTGTGACACAAATCACACCTTGAATTACTTGTTCAAGGACTTGTCACCCTGCAAGATTGCCATCTCCCTGAGGCCTAGGGCTCATTCCCCTCTGTGTCCCACTCTGTGGATTATTCACAAAGTGGAAAGATGAATAGATGAATGAATAACTTTAAACATATTAATTATAGTTACACAGGTTGTAAGCATTTCAATTTTATTTTTAGTTTTCTATAAATAATTAAAATACAACATCTATGTATCTTCAGTTCTTTGATGTATTATTAAAGATAACAAGAACCATTTTATGCAGAGTTTGTTAAAATTTTAAAGTAAAGCTTACCATAAAACTCTAAGGTCAGCTTGAAAGCTGTGTGTAACAGTGTCACTGAAGCTTTTTGCCCCTTCAGGATTTGTATTTGTATTTTCATCAGTGGCATACATATGTCAGTCACAGGCTGTAGCAGCTGTCCCTTTCCTGGGCATGTTCAAAGACAAAAAAAGGAAATAGTGTTTATACGGCTGGCCGAGAAAAACAAAAGATTTAATTTTAAAAAAATGAAATAGCTTTTTAATATACCTTCAGTGCATCTCTATTTCATGTATGTGAGTTTCTGAGCTTGAAAGGAGAACACACTGAGGACGTCAGTGGGGGGCTGTCAGTGTAATCATGCATTTCAGTGAAAGTGAACCTATGCGGTAACATTGCCAAAACATGCTCCAAAAGAATTTCTCTTGACCGTTGACTCACTCTGCCATTCTCAAAGGAATTTAATTGCTCTCTGTTGGGGCCCGTGTCCCAGGGTGTTAGAAGAAGGGACATGTCTGAATCTATCCAGGGCAAACCTAGCACGGGTAGATCCTTTTCCCTTTATGCAGGGCCAGCCCAGATGAGCTCAGTTTATGCAGGCCTCATGTGGCATAGTTTGCAGGGATATTCTCTAATTTCCCTTGTATAATTAGATCTGTTAGTTGATTTCTCAGGACATGACATTGATAGTTATTTCAGAAGACATTACTGATTGCCCTAATCTGTTTTCCTTTAGAGTATTCCATATTTGTCTTTAACTGCCGGCATACCTCTAGTACTTATTTGCTTTGGAGAACCTTCTCTAGTTTTCCTTCTGGTTTTCTGGTATCAGTGGAGACTGCATAGGTACCTCCGTTCTCTTTCAGTGACAGTGATTCCTTTGCCTCATTTATTTCTTCACACAAAACTCCAGCTTGTTCTTAGGAACCAATCCCCAAAACATAATGTCTCCTGCCTTTTGTATTTCCTGGAAGGTTTTTTTGTGGCAATCCACATGATGATGAATTTATTCATTCTCTTTCTAAAAAAGGGATTGTATTATCTTCAGTTTTTATACAGCAGAGAAGAGAAACCCTATGTATCAGTGTTTATAAAATTTAGATAAAAAGAATCTCAAAGATTTCCCTAAATGTATTCCTACAGCTAAGATGACTAGCCATTTTCAAATTAGATTTTTGGCACATAAGAATTTATGTGCAGAAATGTAAGGGCTCTAATTTTATAGGTAATTATAGCTCTGAATTTTTTATGTTAACTGTTTGAAAATCATTTTATGTTTTAATTTTCAGATCAAGAGACTGAAATCTCATCCCTCTATCATCATATGGAGTGGCAATAATGAAAATGAGGCAGCGCTGATGATGAATTGGTATCACATCAATTTCACTGACCGGCCAACCTATATCAAGGACTATGTGACACTCTATGTGAAAAACATCAGAGAGCTTGTATTGGCAGTAAGTAATGGTTTTTAATGCAGTAGAACTTAAGAATGTATCTTTAAAATGGATAAGTTTGAATATAGTTATAGTATGTTCTATGGCTCTTTTTAGGACTGTCTTCAACAGTATCATTTGAATACAGAGTATCCCATTGTAGTGCGGCAACATGTGAAAGGATTCATGTGCTGTGGACTTCTTGGAGGATTAACTTACTTGTGGATCTCTCCACACCTACACCAATGCAGTGCTTACAATGCCAGGTTGTCACGTGCTCCTTGGAGTCCATCCGTGGGTCCTGAAAAGTTTAGAATCTCTAGATTTGATCATTATTGATATGCCACTTCTACAATTTTATAATTGTAAATGTTTAAGTAGAATTTGGCATATATCACATATGAACATCCTGGTATGTGATTTACGGGGCAAAGAGAGATGAGAGAGCTGGTCTCCAACCCCACTGTAGGGCCCTGGCTCTATAGTGGTTCTCTTTGCACCAGTATTTGTCGAATTGGCATATTATACAGGCATATATTAATATAAATTGGCCTTTTTGTGAGGAAAAAGAAGCATTTTTTTAAGTAATGCCTTCAAAAGTTTTAACTTTTTTAAAAACCCTATGTTTAACATGTGATTTAATAATCTGGTTGTCTTTATACTTTTGTATCTGTAGATGTTTAAAATATCTGGATATATCCAGAAGCAATGTGAAATGGGATCTATTTTTTAAAATAGTATGTGATATTAGCACCTAAATATGCCCAGTTGATGACCCTATTCCATTTATGAGAAGAAGCTTCACTGAGAATTCAAGAAAAACATAGGTTCAAATTTATAGCTTACCTGGCATACTAAGTCACGTGCCATGAAGACTTTTTCTATTTAAAAATGTGATGGTACAAATTTTAAATAATATTTACAGAATACTTATTTTATAATCTTTTTTTTTTCTTCACAATATTGGTATTATGTTTTTCATGTTTCATTAATTTATGGTTTCTGAGGATTTTCATTTTATAGTCTAGTGGTTAAGTACTCATGCTTTGAAATCCTGGCTGGGCCACTTCCTGTCTGTATAATCTTGGGCAAGTTACTTAATCTTCATTTTTCTTTCTATAACATTAGGTTAAAAATATGAGGTGACTTTTATGAGTTACATGGACTAAGTGAGATGATGGATGGAAGATACATGACTCAGTCTGACACATAGTAACCGTTTTTGTTTGTTTGTTTGTTTGTTTGTTTTTTTAAGTTAAAATGTTTCCTTGGGGTAGGGGACACCACATTTCTGCTTAATGAAAAGAAATATTTTTATAGTCCAGAGCTCTTTTATTTTTTAAACACCTGTATGCCATGCATTCATAGGAAACAGGTTCCAGCAGCTCAGGCTGTTTTCCATGGGTCCTCACAGTGCACTTCTCTGGGTGAAGCCAGCTGGTGTTTACATTGAACTCAGATTCCTTTCTCTTTGGCTTCCTGCTTTTTCTTTTCTTTCCTTTTCTTCTTGAGTTTCCGGGAGCTATCTTGGCTCCTAGAGTGCTTATTATGCTCAACACATTAATTCTCTTGGCAACAATCTTGCACTTAAATTGTTGTTTACAACAATGCCAACAGCATGCTGGGTAACACTGTAGACTCTTCTGGTTTTCCCATGGTAACATTTGTGGGGCATTCCTTTTTGAACCAGATGCATTCCCCTGATATCTACAGTATCACATTTCTTTCTTTCTTTTTTTTTGAGATGGAGTCTCGGTCTCACCCAGGCTGGAGTGCAGTGGGGCCATCTTAGCTCACTGCAAACTCCACCTCCTGGGTTCAAGCGATTTTCCTGCTGAGCCTCCTGAGTAGCTGGGACTACAGGTGCATGTCACCATGTGCACCTAATTTTTTGTAGAGATGGGGTTTCACCATATTAGTCAGGATGGTCTTGATCTCCTGACCTCATGATCCGCCCACCTTGGCCTCTCAAAGTGCTGGGATTACAGGTGTGAGCCACCGCACCCAGCTCAGCATCACCTTTCTTGTAGATTCACATGTGAAGGAACAACTCCATATTTTCTAAAAGGCCTCGAGAACATATATCAGGTGCCTCTCATCTTTCCTTTTGTGTGTCATCATTATGGTGAAATACGGGAAGATGGTGGTTCACAGTAGCCTTTTAATCAAGACTAGCCATCATCATCATCATCATCATCATCATCATCATCATTGTTGGTATTGTTCAGCAAGGTAGATCTTTAGACACTTACACATTTTGATCATTAATTTTAACACTACATTCTTAAGCTTTAAAAAAAAGTATCTTCTTTGTGCCATTTCTTTGTCACCTCTGAAATGGAGATGTGTCTTTCTCTTTAGGGACTTACTTATCTTAAAAGGAGCTATGAGCAATAACTGATGTTTCCAAACTCTTTTGAAGATGTACAGTATTAAATGCTATATAATCACTGCTGTTTTTAATTTCTACCAAAGGTTAGGCATCATAAAAAGGGAAAGCACCATAAATTGATCCATCTACAAATTGGCTGTAATGATTGGTTTCCTACTGCACATGCTTTCTTTTTTATGGCCATTCTCTTGGATCACCTTACAGTATTTCCTGGTCCAAATAAGTGTTTAAGGTCATGGCTTACAAAGATGTCATCTGTAAGATGTGCAACAAATAATGACACATCAAGAATAAATTATTTATAAATGGAAGGAAATTATAGCACATCATCAAAGCCAGGGAGTTTTAGGTAGAGACTTGTTTTTAATTTTACTGCATGGCTTAGCTTGCCAGATTTCTCAAGAATCTCAAGGAATGAAGGGACATCTGTCAAGCTTGATCAATCAAGGCCAATTGACTGGCCTTCCGTTCCAATGTTCTTCAAAGCCATTGTAGTAAAAATATTTTTTAAAGTTTAATATCACCTATAATTTCATCATACTTTTTAATATTTAAAAATTTACCCAATTTCTTCTTGAGTACCTATTAGCAGAGAAAAGCCTCATTCCCAATGCTACGGGGACACTCTTATTCTCATGGATCTTACACTCTGCTGTCAAAGAGAAACATGGGAAAAAATTATCAGACCTTGGGCAGTGAAAAAAGTGCTATAAAGACTGTGGTTTCAAAATGCTGGGAACTATGTGGAAGAATCATTAATTTTAACTGAAAGAATCCAAAAAGGCTTTCAAGTAAAAGGTTATGTTCAAGCCATGCATTACAGGTGAAGAATTTTGAGGCAAAACATTGTCTAGTAGTACCTTAGGTCATGAAAGCAATGTAAATAAAGGTAAAAAGATGTGAAAGTAGGTGGTATGTCTGATGAGCAGCAAGCAGTGCCCGGTGCCTAAGAGCAGGGGACTCCTGGATTACTGTGGGAGAGTGGAAGGTAGAAAAGACTGGAAGCAGATCTTAGAGAGACCTGAAATCATATTATGGAATTGAGCTTGTTCAGTAGACGGTGGGAAGCTAGTGGGCATTTTGAGGGAGAGAGGAACTTTATCTGACCCATGTTTATGGAAGATAACTTTACTAGGAAAGGTTAGGGAGATGAGAGGTTCTAGGCAAGGAAACTAGTAATAATAACTAAGAACTCTAAGTTACTAAGGTGCCAGGCATCACTATGTTAATTATAATTATTAATATTATTATGTATTAATATATTGAATTAAAGCTGGATGTGGTGGCTTACGCCTGTAATCCCAGTGGCTTGGGAGCTGAGGCAAGGGGAACATTTGAGGTCATGAGATTGAGACCAGCCTGGGTGATATAGGCAGACCCTGTTTCCAAAAAAATTTTTTAAATTATCTCGGCATAGTGGCTTGTGCCTGTAGTCCTAGCTCCTTGGGAGGCTGAGGCAGGATGATCATTTTGAGCCCAGGAGGTTGAGACTGCAGTGAGCTATGATCATGCTACTGCACTCCAGCTTGGCAACAGAGCAACGTTTTGTCTTTTAACAATTTGTATAATAAAATTAATTATATAGGTGTTTTGTATAATTTATTTACTTAATTTTCAGAAGTTCCCTGGAATGTAGGTAACATATTTATTTTGCAGTCATTAAGTTCTCAAGGTAATGGAGGTCTTAGGTAGTGGAGTCCAGTGGTATGGAATTGGAAATGAGGTGATGGAAAAAACTATCTGAATGTAGAGTTGCAACTACTCAGAGTGACTGAATGTGGGAGGTAAGAGAGGGAGAAATTGAAGATGATGCCAATCTGGGTACCATTCAGCAAGAAAGGGAGCATAGTCAGACAAGTTTGGGATTAGTGAATAAGGAATTCTGCTTTAAAAGGTTGGATTTGCAATGTTGGTGAGACCATACAGGTGGAAACGTGGAAATCATCCCCATGAAGACTTTGAATATGAAGACTGTGTATGTTTCTGTATTACCAACAACAGCAGACTTCTAGCATGCACTTATCAGTGTTCAGTCAGCCTTTTCCTGCTTACACCCATCCCCATACATATGTGCACATAGACACACACATGAACACACTGAAGATATTTCCTTCAGGTGCATGTAAAATATGCTGCTTGGATTGAAATTCAAATGGAATTGATCAGTCAAGTAACTTGAGACCTCACAGTAATCTTCACACTTAACCTTAGACACCTATGCAGTCATGTTGGGAGCAGCACCACAGTTTATTTCTGTACTTGAGTTCTTAAGTACAGAAGGTAGAAGCAATTTAAATGGTATAGCATATATATCATTTTCTGGCCTTTTAAAATTTATTTGAGACCTCTTGATGAAATGGACATATTATATATTTCTGCCACCTGGATTTTCCTGGGTAATTTGATGGAATATTTTAAGTTTCAGTAAATCAGAACAATAAACTCAGATATAAAAGTGTTAAAAAAAAACAAAACACTTACATCAGGAATGTAAGTGTTGATGAACATGAGGTCAAGTGTGCAGGTCTGGGCTAGGTGTAATCAGAACCTCTGTATGAGGGGAAGGGGAAGCCATAGGACAGGGTATAGAACAAGGAGAAGCCAAAGAGAGAGAGGGAGAGTGTCCATCTGGGGATGGGGAGGGCAGCTGGAGAAAGAAGAATCAGGAAGTTGGGGGAAACTGCAATGTGGAAGAATTGTGAACAAACAACCCAGGAATGGAGAGAGCTTCTGAAATAATAGGTAGTAAATAGGGTCATTTATTGCACATCAGAGAGGGAATCGGTATGGAGAGAAAGAATTGCTTTATTTAGTAAGTAGAAGTTCATGGGTAATTTTTGAAAAAACATTTCAGTGGAGTGAAATGATTAGGAATTGAATGTCAGGGGTTTAGGAATGAGAGGATGGTAAAGAAATCTTGTGGACTGCAAGGGATCAAGGGGGCTTTTTATTAGGATAAGGAGAGTCCTAGAGAAGCTCAGGGAAAAGGGCAGTAGAGAGAGATTAAGAAAAAAAGGAGTGGAAGATAGTTTGTTGGCTGTAGTACCAAAGCAAAATAGAAAGATGACCAGAACACAGAGAGGCTGGCAAAGGAAAGGGTTAAGAATTTCTTTTTAATGATGGAAGGGGAACAAGAAATGAAATATGGATGGATATACCAAGAAAAAGTGAAATGTAATGGTGAAAAGTTGAGAAAATTATTTTCTTTTCTTTCTTTCTTTCTTTTTTTTTTTTGAGAAAATTATTTTCTGAGAGTCTATTCTCAGGGAAGCATTACAGGCTGTCTGCAATAAGTTTTACATTTCCAAAGAGCCTTGCACTTTTCCTTCAAAACATTCATCATATTTATAATTAGTTGTTCAGTATCTGGTTTCAGCACTAGATTGCAATCTACTCTTCCATGAGGGTGACCATGGCTGTCTGCTGAACCTCCAGCACATAGAAAGAACTGCACACCTGGCATATAGGAAATGCTCAAAAGAGATTTGATGTATAAGTACTTCACAGAGTCGTAGATTCTCTTTGTCTCTCTCTGTCTCTCTTCCTCTTTCTCTGCAGTGCTGAAAAATGCCCGAGACACAAGAGGCTCGACAAATACTTGCTAAATGAATGAATATTCTCAGTGAAATAGGAAGTAGTCTCATCTACTGGGTTGATAATAACTATATTTTGAGTTCTCACAGTGTGCTAGACACTCTGTTAAGTACTTAGATGCTAGATGTTGTAACAAGTAACCACAGTAGTTTAGTGGTTTACATAAAAGAAGTTTATTTCTAACTCACATCATGAAAGCACTGCTCCTGATTTCCAGGCCACTCTTCTTTCAGAGATGTAGACTCCTTATTCCAGCTGTACCATCTCTTGTTCCCTCACCTGCAAATGGGGGAAGAGGATGAGAATGAGGCTAGGTCCCACACAGGCTAGGAAGCCACTTTCTAGGGATGGCTCTGTATTACAGAAATAAGAACATGAATTGGTGGACACTTAGCCATCACTTTCACATATGAGTTATTTACTATTTACAATACCTCTGTAAAGGAGGTCCTGTTATTACCCTCATTTTACAGATAAATCTACGAAGGCTTAGACCTGTCCAAAAGTAATAAGGTTCAGATCTGAGATTTAAAGCCAGGTTCAGGTCCATCTGACTCAGTAGCTTCTGTTTTTACCTGCTAGACCTGTGGTTCTCAAGTGGTGGTGAGTTTGCCCCCATGGAACATTTAGCAGTGCCTGTAGACATTTTTCAACATTGGAGGAGGGGTACTGACTTCTAGTGGGTAGAGGCCAGGGATGCTACTAAATATTCTACAATGCATAAGACACCTCATCCTCCAACCACAAGCTGATCCCAACAGAAACGTATCCAGATTAAAATGTCAATAGTGCCAAGGTCAAGAAACTCTGGACTAAACTGTACACCACCCATGATGGATGAGAGTGGAGGCAAAACGTGATTGAAAAGATTAAGTACAGCTGCTGTGAGGGATGAGCTGTGTTACTTATGAAAAGATATAAAGGATTGGCAAAGAGCAGAGAGGTGCTGGTGGTTGTTGAATGGGGAAGAAGGTAAGTGGTCCTATTTTCTATCAGCTAACCTGGTATTTCTGGGAATTGTTAGTAGTTTTAAAGAAGTAAATGATTCATGCTTTACAGGGTGAATATATTATTTTTGAATTCATTTTATTTCTGAACTCAGGGAGACAAGAGTCGTCCTTTTATTACGTCCAGTCCTACAAATGGGGCTGAAACTGTTGCAGAAGGCTGGGTCTCTCAAAACCCTAATAGCAATTATTTTGGTGATGTACATTTTTATGACTATATCAGTGATTGCTGGAACTGGAAAGTTTTCCCAAAAGCTCGATTTGCATCTGAATATGGGTATCAGTCCTGGCCATCCTTCAGTACATTAGAAAAGGTAAGTCATTGTTTGATTTTCTAATGTTTCAGAATGGTAGGCTGTGGGGATGTGGGCATGTGTTCTTTCTGATCACTGGTTCAGAAAATCACATGAAACCTACATCTTATCTAAATGAAAGTTTGAGAATAAGATGGAGGAAAATAACTATTTTAAAACTTTGGGGATTACTTTTCTATATTGCTTTTACTGTGTTCCTTCAGGAGCACTGAAAGTGCTAAATGGGAGCCAGTGGTTGCTTAAGCCTGACTTATGATCACACATGCAAATAACTCTTACTTGCTGCAATAAGTCTTACTTGTGAATCATATCCTGCAACTGTTTTACCATTTACAGATATATAGAACTGGATATTTCACTACAGTAAGAGGGGCAGTTGTGATTTAAAAAACCCTTTGTCTAATATTATCATCTTACCTTTTCTCTCCTCCTTCTCTTCTTCCATTCCCTCATCCCTTTCCTCTTCCTTTTTCATCCTGTTGTTGTTTTTTATTTTCTGTATGGATTTTCACTCTCTCCGTTCCTAATGATTCAGTTTCAGCATTGTGTGTGTTCTTCTTAAAACAGCTTTATTGAGATACAGTTCATTTGCCATACTATGCACCCATCTAATGTGTACAATTTAATAGTCTTCAGTATATTCACAGAGATGGGTAGCCAGCACCACAATCTAATTTTAGAACATTTTTATCACCCAAAAGAAACCCTGAACTCATTAGCAGCCACTATCTATTTTTCCCTATCCCTCTTCCCCAGTCTCAGGCACTACTAATCTACTTTCTGTGTCTATAGTTTTCCCTGTTCTTCATATTTCATGTGATGGGAATAATACGATATGTGGTCTTTTGAGGCTGATTCTATGACTAAGTGTGTTTTCAGGGTTCGTCCATGTTGAACATGTATTAGTATGTTCCTTTTTTTTTATTTCTGAATAACATTTAGTGGCATGAATACACTACATTTGATTTATCTATTTATCAGTTGATGGACATTTGTGTTATTTTCACTGTCTGGCTATTATGAATAATGCTGCTGGGAACATTTGTGTGCATGTTTTCGTATGAATATGTGTTTTCAATTCTACCAAATATATATCTAGGAGTGGAATTGCTGGATTATTGGTAGTTCTATCTTTAATATTCTAAGGAGCTGTCAAATTGTTTTCTGTAGTGACTGTACCATTTTGCATTTCAACCAGCAAGGTATTAGGGTTCCAATTTCTCTACATCCTTGACATTTTTTTCTTTCTTTTCTTCACATTTCCCTGGGAATTTATATTTACAGGAAATTTGCATATCCTTGATGACTAATTATGTTGATCATGTTTTTCATGCGCTTAGTGGTCATTTTTATATCTTTCTTTGAGAAATGTCTGTTCAAATGCTTTAGCCATTTATTTATTTATTTATTTATTTATTTATTTATTAAAATAGAGACAGGGTCTTGCTTTGTAGCCCAGGCTGGTGTGCAGTGGAGTGATCATGGCTCACTGCAGACTCGACCTCCCAGCCTTAAGCAATCCTCCTGCCTCAGCCCCGAAAGAAGCTGGGACTACAACCACCACACCCAGCTAATTTTTGTATTTTTTGTAGAGATGGGGTTTCATCAAATCATAAAGGCTGGTCTGAAACTCCTGAGCTCAAGTGATCTGCCTGCCTCGGCCTTCCAGCATGCTGGGCTTACAGGAGGGAGCCACTATGCATGGCCTGGTCATTTTAAAATTATTTGTCTTTATTTTATTGAGTTGTGAAATTTTAAAAAATATATTCTGGCTATAAGATTTCATTATTCTTTAATTTGGCAATAATTACCCACTCCACTTTGACGGAGACCCAGGAGGAAGTCAAAGTACTGTAAGAGGACACAGACAGAACTTCCACCCTGCAGTGCTCTGATCTCCTTCTGGGTCTCCATCAAAGTGGAATGAGTAGATTATTGTCAAATTAAAGAATGAGTACGTGGTACACAGCAATTACTCAGTACATATTCTTGCTTCCTTCATTCCTTCCTTCCTATTCCCAACAATAAGTAGCTGGGTTCAAACTTACTCTCTGTCTCCAGAGCCGATAGATTTTCTTTCCATCAAGCTTTAGAAAGATTAGTATTAGAAATTGCTAAACCTTTTCCTTAAATCTATAATAGTTTTTACCGGCTCCTTCAAATAATGGAATTATTTTATCCCATGTTTTTGTGAAATGCCTGGTGATGTTCAGAGATAATAAACACTATATTTTAAAATAGAAAAAGTTGAAGATAAGTGTGGCTCATTATGATTCATTTGTTATCTCTTGATATTTAATCATCTCTTTTTAAGCTACCCTGCTTAGTTAAGAATTTGAATAGGTGATTGGAAAAATAAAAGAAACCAAAAGAATAACTACATAAAACTTTGGCTCTTTTATTTACAAGCTTTTTCATGTATTCAGCAAATCAGTTAAAACATATCTCTTTAATTAGGGATACATTACTTTTTCATAAAATACTCAACATGCGATTATCAATATTGCACACTGATTAAAAGTTTGGGCTTTGGAATAAACAGAACCGATTGAATATGACATCTGCCACTCATTATCTGTGTGGTCTTGGACAGATTATTTAATCCTTTTGAATTTCAGTTTCCTCATCTTTAAATTGGTAGCAAATACCTCATGTGTGTCTGTGTGTGTGTGTGTGTGTGTGTGTGCGTGCGCACGCACACGCGCATGCAGATATGCATATGTGCATGTGTTCATGAGTAAAGATTAAGTTAACTAATACATTGAAGGACTTAGAACTGTTCCTGACACAGTGAAAGCCCATGAAATGTAAACTGTTATTACCATTAGTATAGTCCATTTTAACCATATGATTTGTATGAAAGGTTCATTTCAGATCCTTCTGGGTTTAATGAATTAGGGACTGGAGCTAGACTGAATTAGATTTGGGTACTGAATGAATTATTTAACCCTTCTGTGCCTGGTTTTCACATCTGTAAAATAGGGTGATAATAGCATCTACTACTAGAGTTTGTTTTGTTTTCTGTTTTGAGAGAGGGTCTAGCTGTATCACCCAGGCTGGAGTGCAGTGACCTGATCACGGCTCACTGCAGCCTCATACTTGTGGCCTCAAACAATTCTCCCACTTTAGCCTCCAAGCAGCTGGGACTACAGGCATCTGCCACCACACTGGGCTAATTTTTTATTTTTATTTTTATAGAGATGGGGTCTCACTATTTTGTCCAGGCTGGTCTTGAACTCCTGGGCTCAAGCAATCCTCCCACCTTGTGGATTACAGGTGTGAACCACTGCACCTGGCCAGGTTTTTATGAGTATTAAATAGGCTAATATTCTTATAAGCTAATATTCTTTTTTTGTGTTAGTATTCTTAACATAATTAAAACTTTGCCTAGCCCTTTACAGTTCTTTCTGGTAATATTATTATAGCTGAAAGTTAAAAGATTTTCAAACCATAGTTATAAGAAGGTGGAAAGCTTCCCATATAAATAAAGGTCAGATTTACTGATCATAGGATAGATTCAAATTATTACAAATGAGAAGGCTGCGTGGCCCAAAGGTGTATTTCAGACTTTGAAAAGGGGGAAGGACACATCTATGTGAAAGCTAAAAAAGTTGAGCTTGAAGAAGTACAGTAGAATAGTGATTACTAGAAGGTGGGAAGGGTTGTGGGGGAGGGGCAATAGAGAGAGGTTGGTTAATTGATATGAAATTATAGCTAGATGGGAAGAATAAGTTCTAGTGTTCTATAGCACTTTGGGGTAAGTATAGTTAATAATAATTTATTGTATATTTTCAAATAGCTAGAAGAGAGCATTTTGAATGTTCCCAACACAAAGAAATGATAAATGTTTGAGGTGACGAATTTACTTATTACCCTGATTTGATCCGTATACATTGTATACATGTATCAAATTATATGCAATGTATAAGGTATACATTGGTATACATGGTACCCCATAAATGTGTACACTTACTGTGTCGATTAAAAGTAATAAACATAGGCCGGGTGTGGTGACTTACGCCTGTAATCCCAACACTTTGGGAGGCCACGGTGGGTGCATCACGAGGTCAGGAGATTGAGATCATCCTAGCCAACATAGTGAAACACCATCTCTACTAAAATACAAAAAATTAGCTGGGCATGGTGGCACATGCCTATAGTTTCAGCTACTTGGGAGGCTGAGGCAGGGGAATCGCTTGAACCCAGGAAGTGGAGGTTGCAGTAAGCTGAGATCTCATCACTGCACTCCAGCCTGGTGACAGAGCAAGCCTCTGTCTCAAAAATAAATAAATAAATAAATAAAATAAAAACTATAAATAAAATAAATGAGAAGGAGGAAGCATAGGAAGAAGACTATTAGTAAAGGATGTGCATCTAAAATGTGTACAGGATGATTGTAAATGTGAATACCTCTTTTAAATACATAATAGGAATAGTAAGCATTCTCTAAATAATTCTGGTGGTGGCATTTTGGAAAAACATCTATAATTGGGAAAAACTTCCAAATTTAGTATAGCTAGTGTACATTTCTTATATTTTGGTATGAATCAGTTCCTGAAGAATAACCTTTTCCTTTTAAGGTAACAGGCCTATGTGTTGCTTGAGTACTGGGAAGTAGAAGTCATACTTCATGAACAGGGATTAAGCTTTTTTAGTTTTCAAGCTTTTGGGTGGAGGGGCAGAGTATGTTTTTTCAAAGTCTGTGTAACTTGAATTCAAACTCTGGATATTTTCAGATGTAGCCAGCAATTGTCTTGTTTCTTAAGGTTTAACAGTGAGTTAAATTACAGGCATAGAAGCCAGATTTACTGCCTTTTTGTGTGTGTGTGTGTGTGTGTGTGTAAGATATAATCCAACATATATGAGTTTTTTTTAACTTTTTTTTTACTTTGAACTGATGATAAAAGAAAGATCCTTTAAGTTAGGATAAAAGGGATAAAATAAAGATCCTATAAGTTGGATCTGCCTTTAAAAAAAAAAGACTGTTGATTTGCAGTAACTTTGAAGGTCTCTTAAAAAAAATGAAAAAAGTCAAAACAATTTTAAAAAAGAATAAAAGTAAAAAAAATAAATAAAAGATTGATTTTTAGGGGAGACGAGTAGCATTATTTGGTTTGCATCTTCTATTCCTCAATGACCTAAAAATAGAAATCCCATTTGACCCAGCAATCCCATTACTGAGTATATATCCAAAGGATTATAAACCATTCTACTATAAGGACAGATGCACACGAATGTTCATTGCAGCACTGTTTACAATAGCAAAGACCTGGAACCAACCCAAATGCCCATCAATGATAGACTGGACAGGGAAAACGTGGTACATATACACCATGGAATATTACGCAGCCACCAAAAACGATGAATTCGTGTCCTTTGTAGGGACATGGATGAACCTGGAAACCATCATTCTCAGGAAACTGACACAAGAGCAGAAAATCAAGCACCACATGTTCTCACTCATAGGTGGGTGTTGAACAATGAGAACACACGGACACAGGGAAGGGAGCACTACACACTGGGGTCCGTTGGGGGGAAATGGGGGAGGGATGGTGGGGTGGGGAGGTGGGGAGAGATAGCATGGGGAGAAATGACAGATATAGCTGAGGGGAAGGAAGGCAGCAAATCACACTGCCATGTGTGTACCTATGCAACAATCTTGCATGTTCTTCACATGTACCCCAAAACCTAAAATGCAATTAAAAAAAAAAAATTAAACATATATGTCAGTTTCATTTAGTAATCACTGAGAAATGAATGAGTGGTGTAAGTGCTAAAGCATTTACTCTCATAATATTCCATTATAGTGTAATAGGTGTTTTATTCCTATTTAAGAATTGTGACAGTTTTAAGAAAGTGTTGATTGCATTCTATTATTAAGTTTTGACAAATGAATACTAGATAAAATATTTACCTAAGTAGATGAAATGATATTTTAAAATACATATAATGAATGTCTCAAAAACCAAGAATATGTTTTAATAAAACTAGGGTCTTAAGAGAAATACCAAAATATAACTTTCTTAGTTGGAGGAAGGGGGGATATTATGGACCAAATCCTGGTTTTGTGATTCCACTTTCCACAAAGCTAGTCCTTCACTGACAACAAGTAGGATGGGAAAACATTTATGAAACTGGAGCTGCAGAACAAACCCTGAGCTCTCTTCCAGTGTGTAGAGTATGTTCGGGTTTGTCAGGAACTTAGAGAAAAGTAGTTTTACTGCCAACTTTCAGATTTCCAATTCTTATTCTTTATTTGAAAGGTCTCATCTACAGAGGACTGGTCTTTCAATAGCAAGTTTTCACTTCATCGACAACATCACGCAGATGGTAACAAACAAATGCTTCATCAGGCTGGACTTCATTTCAAACTCCCCCAAAGCACAGATCCATTACGCACATTTAAAGATACCATCTACCTTACTCAGGTAAGTTGTTTTCTTTCTAGAGTTGAGCAGGGTCCTGCAGTTAATGTAAGAGATTATGTAGATTTTGTAGGCTTCATATGGTGAAAAATATTCAGATTTTCATTCTATTGGTTGAGGAATTTATTTTCTTATGATGACACATAGGATATAAAATAGTTCATTTTTGGCATTTGTCTCTCTTACAAAAACAGCTCACAAAATTCTGAAACAAATTGTGTATTAAAATACTCCCTACTTCAAGATTGCGCTAAAGGTTTAGTAATTAAGACAGTGACATTTCCTAAGGATACAATAGAACAGTGAAACACTATAGAGTCCAGAAACAGATCCCTGTATAACGGACACATGATTTATGGCTACAGTGCCACCACAATTCCATATAAGAAGAATCATTTTATCAATAAGTAGTATGTAACACATGGATACTTTTATGGGAAAAGAAATGAACTTGATTCCATATATACAAATTAATTTGATTGTTGGACATGGTGGCACACACCTGTAGTCCCAACTACTTGGGAAGCTGAGGTGGGAGGATTGATTGAGCCCAGAAGTCTGAGACTAGTCTGGGCAAAATATCAAAACCCCCATCTCTAAAAAATAAATTAAGAATAAATTATAAAAACTTCATTTGACCAATGACTGAAGACTCAAATGTGAAAGGTACTATAATAAAGCTTCGAGAATACATGTAATAGCTTCATAATTTGGGGATAGATAAGAATTTTTATATAGAACATAAAAAGCACTAACTGGAAAAGAAAATATTGATAAATTATACTCCATTGAAATTATGGACACCATTACGTATGAAAAACACCATTAAGGGAGAGAAAAAGCAAGCCATAGATTGGGGACCAATAGTTTTAATTCATATGTTTGATAAAAGATTTGTATTCAGAATAAAGCAATTTTTATTGCTTTCCATAAAGCAATAAGAAAAAGCCAGATAATCTATTTAAAAATGGATAAAAATCTTGAACAGGTATTTCACCAAAGAAGATATCCAAAGGGTCAATAAATATATGAAAATGTGTCCAATCTTGTTTTAAATCAAGAACACGCAAATTAAAGCCATACCAGGATACCCCTATACACCTGGCAGAATGACTAAAATTTAAAAGATTGACAATATCAACTGCTGTTGAGGAAGTGAAACAGATGGAAATTTTAGATGTTGTTAGTAGGAGTTTAAATTTGACCATTTGGAAAATGTTATGGCAGTTTCTACCTAAGCTAAATGTTTGCTTCCCTTTTGAATCAGCATTTCTGCTCCTGGCTATGCACCTAAGAAAAATGAGTTAATATGTCCACAAATGGACATCTAAAATAATGTTCATAGCAGCATTATTCACAATAGCTCCAAAGTGCACACAACCTAAATGTCCTTTAACAGAAGAATCTATAAACAAACTGTGGTATATTCATACAGTGGAATACTCCACAGCAATAAAAAAAAGAATAAGCCACTGATAACCAGCATCAGCTTGGATGAGTCTCACAGATATTACGTTGAGTAAAAGAAACCAGACATAAAAGGATACATAACTGTATTGATTTCCTTTATATTGAAATGTAAGTATATTATAGAAAAAAGTATAGATTAGAAAAAGCAATCAAGATGATAGTGAATGAGGTAGTGCTCACTACTCTTGTGGAGGAGGGTGGGGAGCAGTGATTAGGAAGGGGTGCAAGAGAACGTTGTTTTCTATCTTGACCTGCGTAGTAGTTACATGGATATATGCATATATCAAAAGACTTGTGAATGTTACGGCATGCACCCTGCTGGATTTTAAAAACACTTCTATCATATTTTTATGATATGATGGACATATCATAAAATTCACACGTGAAGTGTACAGTTAAGTGATATTGATAGAGTTGTGCAACCATCACCGTGGTCCCATTTTGGAATACTTCCATAACTCTAAGAAGATCCCTTGTACCCATTCACACTCCCACCTCCAGCTGCAGGAAAACATATTATAAATCCATATTCTATTTCTATAGATTTTCCCTTTTTCAACATTTCATATAAATGGAATTATATAATACGTGATGTTTTGTGTCTGGCTTCTTTCACCTAGCATAAAGTTTTTGAAGTCATCCATATTATAGCATGTACTTTATTTCCTTTTTCTTGCCAAATAGTATTCAGTTGTATGGTTATACAGTTTTGCTTATCTATTCGTCAGATTCGTCTGTTGATGGACATTTGGATTGTTTCCACTTTTGACTATTATGAATAATGCTGTTATGAATACTCATATAGAAATCTTCATGTGGACATAGATTTTCTTTTCAAACGGTAGAAATATACGAGTGGAATTGCTGAGTTATATAACAATTTCATGTTTATCTTTTTAAGAAACTGCCAAACTGAATTTTGGATAATGTTTTCATTTTACATTTTTTATTCACCTATAGTTCATGAATCTGTAACCACACTTAATACTCCATTAAAGCCGCTGCTTATTTACCTACTGTTTTTGCCATACTTGTTAGAAGTTCTTAGACAGAAGGTAAAAGCCTAATCCCAATCATAAAGTTGATCTGAAGTAAATAGGAAGTTTTTTAAAACATAATTTTTAAAATTAATTTTCCTATCTTAGTATCACAGTTAAATTTTCCTATCTTAGTATCTAAAACTGTATGAATTTTAATCCAAATTTATGCTCACACCTTCACCAGTGTTCTCCTATATGAAGACACAAACCCCATGATAGATGCTGAAGCAGGAAACTGTAAGCTGAAAGAACAATCTTTTTTAGAAGTTGATGATAGGATTAGGAGAATTTTAATGTTTCTATCATAATCTTATAGGTTAGGGAAGTTTTGCCAGGGTGGTATGTAATTCATGAACTTACCAGAACACAAGGTTAAAGGCAATGCTGGTACCTGTCCCTTGAAAAGTGTTGCACTTTATCTTTTAAGTTTTTCACAGATAATATTGTTAAAGCATTTTGGTATAGAAAACAGGCTGATTATTATTTGTGTGTGTGTGTGTGTGTGTGTGTGTGTGTGTGTGTGTGTGTGTGTATGCGTAAAAACATTTTCTGCTATTGTTCTTATGCAGCATTTCCTCCTTCCAGCTGTTTTATTACTGTAACTTTATTCTTTTCCTCAAAATTATATTCTAAGAACTGACAGAAACAATTTGTCTTTTTTGAACTGATTAGCATTCAGGATCCATAGTTAGGAACTGGGGATACAAGTGGAGTTATTTGCTGCCAGTTTTTGTTGGTGATGGTTTTGTCTGAGAGTTTAGCGCTAGTGTCCTCTCAGGCTTTGGTTCAGAATTGGACCTGTCCTCCTGTGGCTTGTTACTGTCTACTTTGGCCCTTTCCAACATACTAGATGACGTCCGTGATGAAGGAAATCAGGGTTATGATTATTTTGTTTTGTTTTCAGTGTCAGATATACTTGACTGGAATACAGACAGAAAATGTTACGGTTTTAGAGTTTTCCCTTATTACTTTGATTTCAGAATAGTACTCTTTTAATCTGTGTGTTAGAAATAAAGCCCTTCTCTGTTCCATTTTCTATGTTCCTACTCCCACCCCTGTTCTTTTTCTCATAGTCTGTCATACTGTTCTGAAGAACAGAGTGCTTGCCTTTGTGCTACTTTCTGGATAGTTTATTATTAAGGAATATTTGCAACTGTCAGCAGAGTCTTAGCTGAGAAAGCTATGCAGTAAATTTCTTCACATTTAGAATCCTTCCCTATCTTCTCTTTATCTTATAGCCATAAAGATATGGGCTCCTGTCTCATTAATTCTCCTAGTATTCCAGGATAATCTTGCCTCACCTTTTACTCTCCCCATTTGCCCTGTTACATTGTATTCCAAATAGCCCGTATACATGAGCACGCCCTCTTAAGCTGTGTTACACAGGTCTCACTCTCTAGTCTGAGGACCAGCTATCTAAATGAACACGTCTAAACTAACTTTTAGGTGACTTACTCTACCTGCATGCCCTCTTATTGGCTACTGGGAGAGTAGGCCAGCCCAAGGACCTTAATTACCAAGCCCTTAGCTTACAGCCTTCTCAAGTGCTCTTGTTTATTCTTCATATGTCTACTGAACAGCTAATGATGGCTTGGGGATGTCCTTGAGAAACTCATTTTCTTTAGGGGCCGATTTTATCTTCCCATGCTGGAACTAACTTGATCATAAGAACTAACGACAAAAGATAGGTGATGCTGTAGGCGCAGGTTTTGATGACACCTGCTGCCCTGGAACAGTTATCTGTTTGATAAGTAGCACTGAGACATGATGGAAGATCCAGGCCATACTGAGCTTTGTTTTGTTTCTGTTACATCTTTCTTATCATTGAACATGTGTTCAAATTTAGGGTTTTAAAGTCTCCACAAAAGAGAACTATTATGTATTTAGTGCAACCGGGTACAAGACAGGCTCAAAAACAAAACTGAATTGCTCATTCTAATAATAATCTAGAGAATCCTTATATTTAAATTTAAAAAATGATCTCAATAGGGACATCCTAAGTAAAGGAATATCAGAGAATATTATTATTATTATTACAGGTAGACTAGCCATAAAGTTGTAAAATATAATTTTTAGCTTTTACTTTTTTTTTTTTTTTTTTTTAATGGAGTCTAGCCCTGTCACCCAGGCTGGAGTGCGGTGGCGCGATCCTCTGCCTCCTGCGTTCAAGAAGTTCTCCTGTCTCAGCCTCCAGAATAGCTGGGACTACAACAGGCATGTGCTACAGCAGCCAGCTAATTTTAGTAGGGCTGGGGTTTTGCCATGTTGGCCAGGATAGTCTTGAACTCCTGATCTCAGTGATCTGCCTTTCTCTGCCTCCCAAAGTGCTGGAATTGCAGGCGTGAGCCTCCATACCTGGCCACTAGTTACTTCTTTACTGTTGACATTCTTAACTACAAAACAATAATTTTAAAATATATTCTTGAACAATGACACATGTATCAGAGAGTAATAATGCTTAAAAATGCTAAATAAAAGATCTATGAAAAAGCT